ACTGTTATGGTGAAGCCCATGGTCGCCACTCAACCCATCTCCTACAGAGGCATCTCTGTTCTCATGGGACCTCTACTTGACCCAGCATAATGCCTTTTTCCCAAGCCTGAGCTCTCTCGACAGCATGTTCAAATCATACAGAATCTGACTGTTCCTGCTTCCTTGGGCCATACGTCTTCTAAGATAGATTTGTTTGTTCTGCTGGCAGTCCAGGGAACCCGGAATATTCTTCACCAGCACCACAATTCAAATGCATCAATTCTTTGGTCTTCCTTACTCTGTGTCCAACTTTTAAGTACATGGGGACCAATTAAAAGTACTATGGCTTAGGTCAGGGACACCTTAGTCTTCAAAGTAACACCCTTGCTCTTCAACACTGTGTTAGTCCGGATAGACTAGAGAAACAAATTCATAGACACTCATAGGTGTATAAGAAAAAGCTTTTAGGTACAAGAGCCATTGAATATTAAGAAAATATCCTAGCCCAGTCCAGATCAAGGCCATAAGTCTGGTATTAACCCTTATGTCCCATACCAGTCTATAAATTCTTTAGACTCACGCAACACATGCAATGACACTGAATGCAGGAAGATCACAGGCCAGTGGGTGGAAAGTCTTGTGGATCCAGTGGTGGTAGAAACATCTCAGTGCAGGTATGGGTCTCCACGTGGCTTCTCAGGCTCCAGGGCTCTGGCTGCATCAGGGTAGCTCCATCAGACTCATTGTCAGTAATGTCTCACAGGGAGTCAAGGAGAGAGTGTTTGTGTCTCACCTCTAGTGAGCTATTGATCCCCCTTAGTGCCTCCAAATGAGGTCATCCAGCTGTGACCTGATTGGCTAGACTCCACCCCTCCACAAGTTGACACCAGATGTTGTAACAACCACAACACTATCAAGAAGTCTAGCCCAGCAGATTTTCCCAATGCCACGCGTCGTTGGTTATCTGCGGCTTCCATGAGCATTGCTTGTGGATCTCTTAGATCACTCATGGGAGAGATATACCTCAGTCCTTGGCTTCACACAAGAAAGAATTCACTCCAAAGCCTGGTTTGTGATCCAAGTGAGTTTTATGAAAGTTAAAAGTTTCAGGTTTACACGGGTACCCTCAGGGCCCCTCACCCCCGTACAGCCTGCCTAGAAGCTGCTCAAGAAAGTCACGAGGTGGGCTCCTGGAGGGATCCTGCCTTTTCAATTCCTCCTCGGGAAGGTGTGGTTGATGACCCTGGTTGACCCCATTGGCCAAATTGAATTCCCTTGAATTAGATGGGCCAATCCAGGTGCAAAGCCCACCTAGGTGTACTACCCCTTCCTGGCCAGAAGCTCCAACCTCTGAGCATGTGTAATGGATGCCCCAGCCCCTATGCTAAGCTCCCTAACAGATCCAAGCTGTAATTTCCACCGGAACACCTCGCTAAGTGTCTGTGGAGCCACTGGTGGATTTGAATCGCCAGCCTTTCCGTTTGCAGCTTAGTGCTTAACCACTCTGTCACCCAGACCAACAACCAACCCACTCCTGACTCACAGTGACCCTGCAGGCCAGAGAATTGCCTGATGGGTTTCCGAGCGTGTCAATTATGCAGAAGCGGACTGCCACATCTTTGCCCCGGAACGGCTGGTGAGTTCCAACCACTGACTTCCCAGTTAGGAGCTACATGCTGCACCATGCCACCGTCAGGAGCCCTCTGTGCCACCCAGGGTCTCCTCTTTCAGTTCCAGAAGGAATGTTGGCTGAAGGAACCAGGGAATGCGGGACGGAATGATGTTCCTTTCCTGTACTGCCCCGGGCTCCGGCGTTCTCTTCCAGCTGCCACCTGCATTCTCACATTGCATTCTCCTCTTGGTCCCATCAACACATATCGACTGGGCGCCTGCTCTGTCCCAGGCCCTTATACTAGGCACTGGGTGGCCTCTGTGTGCCTTTCCCACAGCTGGCAAACCAGTGACCACCACCCACTCAAACCTGGACTGCCAGAAGCAGAAACTCGCCCGTCTTGGAAGACGTACAACTAAAACTGGTCCTTAGAAGGGAGGAGGACGAAACGTCATCTCGCTGACTATGGACCCATTCCCTGGATAAAGACATCGTGCTTGGTCAAGGGGGGTGTTGGTGAAAGAGAGGGAGACCCTCGACGAGATGTGTTAGCACAGTGGACACAAGCGTGCGCTTCAAGCTGACAGCCGTATTTCATTCTGTGGTTGACCCTCCGCTCAGAGAGGATGACCTACCATGCATCTTTCAATACATGTTACTCCCCCGTGCCCTCCCAATCATCCCGTCTCTGGCCTCCAACTCCTAAAACTTCCCAGGAGGAAGTGCGGCACTAAGACCTTTGGGGACCAGCCTTGTTGGCAGGATGCTGGAGGACAGCGCATGTGGAAATCCTCGCGGTTGGCTTCCATCTTGGAGCGGGACACCGCTGTTTCTCTCCTACTCGGGTCGAAGTACCACGGGCCAGAGGACATTGGTTGCTAAGCAACACATCCGCAGCCCTTGTTTCTAACAGCAACTGGGGAACGTTTTGGAGGGCTCCGAAGCCCTGGGTCCTCCTCTTTCTTCTGGAAGACAGCTCTGGCTGCTGTGGGCAGAAGCCTTCGAGTGGGTGTAGGCTCCAAAGGGCGGAATCACTTCAGCGCTGCCGCCTTGCCTCTCTCTCCTGCCAGCCTGAGAGTGCTCGGAGCCACCCCGCTCTCCTGAGCACCCACCTGAGTCCTCCTGGCGGGTGCCCAGCATCAACATCACCCTTGTCCACGTGTCTCCTTGGCAGTCACCAGGGCACACGACGGACGTCAGGACGGGTGTCTTTTTACCTGACACCTGTCCCTTCTCCGATGCCCACTCCCTCTTCCTGAAGAAGGCTAATGGCCAGCTAACCTTTCCGGTGGGTGTGGAGTCCCCATCACAGTGGGTGCTGGGGAGGCAAGGGAGCAGCTAAGCCTCTTGTTAACCCAGCCTCCTGGGTCGGTTTTCTTTGTTAATTTTAGCCTCTTGTTGACAGACCACTTGGCTGCGTGTCATGACACTCTGAGGTGGCTTGACATGAACAGGTCCCTGCCCTCATAAAGCTCTGTTTTCTTGGAAAATTCTGCAATCGGGGCTGGGTTGTTTCTCCACCCCCACCTCCCTCCTTTTTCAGTGCCCAAATCCCATCAATATGAACTTCCCCTCCTTAGGATATTTTGGAAGTAGACCAAGCCAACCGTTCCTGCCACCTTACTGATGGAAGAGAAAGAACTAGGTGCTTGGGATCTTGAGGGGCTGAAACTTAGTCTCTGCCCTAAAGGGACTTAGGAGTCAGTCCCAGCGCTGGAGGGCCTGGCCCGTCTGTCCTCTGCAGCAAATGACTGCCCACGCGAGTGATCCAGTAGCCTCGTAAGTTACAAGCGATTCTCGTCTATCAATGCATAGCTGGGCGTGATCTTAGAGTCAGTCCCTGGATGTCCCAGAAGGTTAACAGCTCTCAGCGGCCAACCAAATGCTTGGGGGTTCAAGTCCCAAGGTTGGAAGAAAGACTTCCAAAAGTCTCAGCCACAGAAGACCCTCGGGAGCCCAGGTCTTTGCTAACCAACAGGAAGTCAGAACCACCTGACTGGCAGCTCGTCTTAGAAAGGCCTTTGCTGATTGGACCCAGCTAACGCTTCCTCAGCGCTCCCTCTGCATCATCGCATGCACTTTGAAGAAGGGGCAACGTAGAAACCGAGGCTTGGAGCGTGCAGCCAAGGCGCACATGTAAGCTTGGCACAGGCCAACAAAGGCAGAGCAGGGATTCAGCTCGGCGTGGTCAGCTTCCTGGCGGGCTTGTCCATGGTCACCCCTCTTAGATTAGACAAAGTGCCTACACAATGCCTCCGTGCACACAGGTCTAAGGACTGTAATGAGTGTCCTGCTTCATGTTCTCACTTTAAAACAGATTCCCTGAGGACAGAAAGGGCAAATGCTGGGCTAGAGCCCAAGTACATCTTCCAGGCCCTTGGTACAGAGCGCCAGCTTGCCCTCCCCGGCGGCTGTACCCATCTGCACTGTCAGCGCAGGTAGAGATTAGGAAACACACACACTGCCAGTATAGGAAACCCATGCCTACCTCTCATCTCACATCCTCTTCCTCGACAGACTGCTAACGGCAGCTCCCACCTGGACAAAGCACCTTGGTTCCCTCTTGTGGGTGAGGAGGGCATCCAGGCCCTTAGGAAGGGGCTCTGCTTGTGTGCCCGAGGTCATGGTAACTGTGGATAGTGGTGTCTTCATCTCGATCAGCTCCAAAGCCTGTGACCACCAGATGCCACGGGGTCGACTGTGACCCACTGTGTGTCAGAGTAGCTTCCCAATCTACGGCTGTATCTTCACAAGCCCACCAGCCACCCTGTTTTCCAAGGTGACCCTGGGTGGACTGGAACCTTCAACCTTGCCATTGCAGCCAGGCTGGTTAACTGTTTGCACCTCCTGTGAACTCGTACAACACAGGGCTATCCCTGAGGAACCAAATCCACTGCCTTGGGGGCAATTCCGACTTACGTCAGCCCTGTCAGATAGAGTGGAACTGCTTCGTGGGGTTTCCGGGACTGTACCAATGGGGCTCCTTGATAACACAGAAGGGTCTCTTTACATCCCTTAGAACCAGAGAGAAGGGTCACTCCACGAATCAAATGGGGTATCAGGCAGAGGGTGAAAGGCCCCTGATGATCACTGTGTGACCAGCTTCCCCTACCAAGCTCTCTTGCCAATTGCTTATTTATCCATAGTATGCATCCTACATCCGCCAGGATTGGTCAGGGCATGCTGGTGGATCCACCTGTTCCCCAAAAGGACGAGGTGTCCTTCACGTGTAGGGTTCTGGCATCTTGTCTCTGTTCTCCATTTCCCGTGACTCAGGGGTGTCTGCAGCTGTTTGGAAACCTCTGAGCTTGAGCACCGAGTGGCCCCGCGGTCCCTGTGGGGGCCTGTGGGGGCCCCTGAAGAGACAGTACTGGGCAACACTCACTGGGTGTCTCCTTTCCCTTGCCAGCATCCCACTACTACAGATACAAGCAGCAGTTCATCTTCCCAGGTGAGTCTTGGCAGCGGGACATTGTCTTTCTGGAAGCCCTGCCGAGGCATGGATGCGGCTGCAGCCTCAGGGAAGGGGATGCTGTCGGGGCGGATGAGGTCCAAGAGGGTGTTAGTGGGGTCCACAACTCAGGACAGAGCAGGACAGGAGATGGATACTCCAAGAGGTCCAAGAGCACAGGGGTCTTCAGAGGAGGGGGCCAGAGCCCCAGGGGAGGGGAGAGGTGGCCAGATGGATTTGAGTTGAGAACGGAGAGCCATGAATGGGGCAGCCTCGTGATGATCCCAGAGGGATCGTAGGAGTGAGAGGCCAGAGCCTTGGGGATCCTGGCAGCCTCGGAGTCAGCAGTGAGGAGCTCCATGCGGCAGGTTATCTGGAGCACCATGCCTCTGAGAAGCTACGGGGTCAAGGAAGGAAGGAAAAAGTGGGGGGCATCCCCAAGAGTCCACCTTTGGGATGATCGATAGCCACTGGCTGCCAGCACCTCCCGGGGAGTGGGCTCTTGGGGTGGGGCGACCTCCATGGATGTTCCGTCTCTGGTTTTCAGATGTGGTGCCAGTGCCGGAGACGCCAACCCGGGCGCCCCAGGTCATCCTGCATCCGGTGACCTCGAATCCCATGTAAGTGGAACCGACCGACACTTCCTGTCCCCACCTGAGCATCCAGCCTGGACCCTTTGGTTGCCTCAGCACCCCTACCCTCTCCGTCTATGTCTTCCTCCCCTTCTTGGAATTGGTGGGTTGGGAGAGGGGATCGGAAGGACAGACAGAGAGCGACAAAGGGAGCAACACAGGCAAAGAACTACAGCCCAGGCTGGGGGACAGCACTGACCACTGTTTGCACCTCCTGTGAACTCGTACAACACAGGGCGATCCCTGAGGAACCAAATCCACTGCCTTGGAAGCAATTCCGACTTACGTCAGCCCTGTCAGACAGTGGTCCACTCTGCCTGGGCCCCTTGGGCCTACCGTGTGGTCTCATTTTCATAGGCCCTCCTGGGCCCAGAAAGACTGCTTTCCCTGGCTGACAGCTGGAGTTCAAGGGAAGGACAGTCCTTCAAAGCCACTGGCCTCTTTATAAAGTTTATAACGGAGCTTCAATCAGGGATCAGTTAACTACAACCCTTGGGACAAACCCAACCTGCTGCCTGTCCGTAGAAACACAGCTCTACGGGCGCGTGGCCAGGTCCAGTGGTTTGCACAGTGTCTGGGGCTGTCCTCACTCTGTGACAGCAGGC